GTTGCCCAAGCGGGTCTCGAACCCGTGGGCTCAGACAATCCACTCACCTCAGCCTCCCAAAGCGCGGGATTACAGGCTAAGCCACCGAGCCTGGCTGCAATTTATTATTTTAAAAAGTTTTTGGCCAGGCACTGTGGTTCATGCCTATAATCCCAGCACTTTGGGAGGCCGAGGTGAGAGGACTGCCTGAGCCCATGAGTTCCAGACCAGCCTGGGCAGCATGGCGAGACCTCGTCTCTACAATAAAATTTTAAAAAGTAGCTGGGCATGGTGGTGCATGCCTATAGTTCCAGCTACCTGAAAGGCTGAAGTGGAAGGATTGCCTGAGCACAGTAGGCTGAGGCTGCAGTGACCGTGAGCATGCCACTGCCCTCCAACCTGGGCGACAGAGTGAGACTCCAACTCAAAAAAAAAAAAAAAAAAAAAATTTTTTTTGCTGCTCAGGCTGGAGTGCAGTGGCACGATCATGGCTTACCGAAGCCTCAACCTTCTGGGCTCAGGAAATTGTTCCGCCACAGCCTCTTGAGTAACTGGGACTACAAGCATGTGTGTGCCACCACACCTAGTTAATTTTTGTATTTTTTGTAGAGATGGGATCTCACTATGCTGCCCAGGCTTGTTTCCAGCTCCTAGACTCAAGTAATCCTCCCTCCTCAGCCTCCCAAAGTGCTGGGAATTACAGATGTGAGCCACCGCGCCTGGCCAGGAGGGCTATACTTTTTGTTGTGAATGGAGCTAGTCAAAGTTTTAAAGTCACTGAGTCTTAAAATGATCTTGTCGGCCGAGCTCGGTGGCTCAGCCTGTAATCCCAGCACTTTGGGAGGGCGAGGCGAGTGGACTGCCTAAGCCCGCGGGTTCGAGACCCGCCTGGGCAAGTTGGCAAGACTTCGTCTCTAAAATAAATTTAAAAAATTAGCCGGCCATGGTAGCGTGCGCCTGTAGTTCCAGCTGCTTGGAAAGCTGAGGCGGAAGGATTGCTGGAGCTCAGCGAGTCGAGGCTGCGGTGGCCGGGAGCGACCACTGCCCTCCAGTCTGGGGGACAGAGTGAGACTCCAACTCAAAAAAAAAAAAAAAAAAAAGAATCTTGTCATCCTTGGATCACGTTATTAATTATCTGGGAATGGCTTGCTGGTTTCAGTATTTTTTGCTTAACAGCAATAGGATGAAAGAAGCTGGCCAGGCTGAACCTAGAGGCAACAAAGCTTTGTGTTTTGTGTTTTGTTTTTGTTTTTGAGTCTGAGTCTCACTCTGTCGCCCAGGCTGGAGTGCAGTGGCACACTCATGGCCACCGCAGCCTCAACCTGCTGGGCTCAGGCGATCCTTCCGCCTCAGCCTTTTTAGTAGCTGGAAGGAACTACATGCATATGCCACCACGCGCAGGTAATTTTTTTATTTGTAGTAGAGACGAGGTCTCGCCTTCTTGCCCGGGCTGGTCTCGAACGCGTGGGCTCAGGCCCTCCTCTCGCATCCGCCTCCCAAAGTGCTGGGATTACAGGCGTGAGCCATCGCTCCCGGCGGAAGCTTTTAATTTTTAATTTTGGTGGGTCCTGAAGTTGTTTTTTCTCCTTTCTGGCCGGTGCCTTGTGTATTTTTGGAGAGCTCGCGGACCTCTCCC